GATCACCGTCACACCACGATAACATTCAGTCCCCCGTGATGAACAGTGTTTGCTCGTCGGCTCGCGTGTGTCCCGCGGCGGTTGACTCAAACAGACCAGCAACGAACAGCACCGAACTCTACGACCTTGGGGAACAAGACCAGTTTGTGTAGCACTGTTCTGATATTGTGAAAACACTAAAAAAAGTGAAAATTTTAGTTTTCATCAAATTCAACTGGAATCAAAGGTCAATGGTTGTGCGTTTGCCATGATAAATATCACCTTAGACGCCACACTAAACTCCCCAGACCGCCATAAAAAGCACACCGCAGCTCCTCGTTCTACCTTGTGTACAACATGCGTAAAAAGTCCTACCGACATCAGACAGGCTACGGGACTATACACACAAAGGAGAACACCGGTTTTCCAATTCGAATGGTCTCCTTGGGAACAATTACAAGAATTCTATGACGATAAATGTCTTAGTCCTGGTCAATGTCGAATGAATTCGGTACTTACTCTTCTGGTTGACTTGATTCAATTGACTTGCAGTTACGACGACGCCTACGTCGGTAGAAAGGACGCATTGGGTCCTGTAGCTTCCTGTTTGAAATATCAATTGAAGAAAGCAAGACAAACACATGGTCAGAAACCTAACTCACGGATCTCGAAAAATATCAAAACTACCGACCATTGAGCTGACCCAGGGACATCACTCAGCATTCCCATCCGAGATCCGAAATTGCTGGCGTTTCGTGAGACAATGCGACAAATTGATAAGGCTTCATCAAGCCCATGAACACAGGAAATCTTGACATATCATCAGGCAATTAGTTTACTTACTGGTTTGCTCCGTCCACCATTTTACGCGTGCTTTTAGGCCGTGGACTAATTAACTGGATAAAAATGAAGTGCTTACGTCTCTAAAAGGTTTGTACTTGATGCAACTGGTAGATCGTTTGATCCGAAGGACCACATCACTTAGAAACTACAGACCCAACACTGCCCCCAAAGACACTAGTTTGAGTATGCGGTCAGTTGGAAAGCAACACACTTCAACACCCTACTGGGAGGTATCATTTTATATTTGCTTATGGACAGGGAACTTCAGGTTCAATCATGGTAGGACAAACGAAAATGCCCATCTTGTTGCGACCAATTTATTTTCGGCATGAGGGGAGTGATTCTCTGTACAAAAAGTCAATTTTTCATATCCGTCGGACTGGAAAATCAGGATTTTTTGGTCAAATAAGGAAGACAAATAGATATAGCTTCACATGATATCCATAGGATGGGCGAAATTCTTAATTTGCGATTAACAAAAACTCCACAGTTTTACTACGGAGTGGGAGAGAGCAAAAACAACCACAGGCAAACAAACTAGGGAAAACAGAAAACGTCTCGCAAGCTTGCAGCAGATTCCTTGATTAGGCCACTTGTGCAGGTTGTGTGTATGCGGAATTGGATGACGCAAACTGCGCAGTCGGACTACGACGAACCTGGATTAGTCTGATTAGGACTCATTAGTTATGTGCAGTCTCCAGGACGGAAAGACTTGATCATTCCGATGTTGTTGAACCTCGGGGCTTCAAAATCCAGTGCTTTGTTTTTGAATACGTGTGAAAACACCTCAACGATATTTTTATTCCGGCAGTGCGGTGGTAAAAATAGTACGCGTGTCCGATGTACCTCAGTGGGAGTGAAACTGGTTGCGTGGTGATTGCAGTGGTGTTCGGGTGACCTTCCGAGTACCGCGTGCGAGCAAATGTACCTAAAAGAGTTACGGACCTCAGTAGGATCGTAAACTCTTATTTAAGTTTGATAACCAATGCAGCAGAACATTGGCCACAACATGGTTCTCTCTGGTCTATAACTCCATCATCATCCTCATCATCATCATCATCATCATCATCATCATCATCATCATCATCATCATCATCATCATCATCCTCATCATCATCATCATCATCATCATCATCATCATCATCATCATCATCATCATCATCATCATCATCATCATCATCATCATCATTGATAGCATGAAATCAGTGTTCAGTCTATAACTAGTGACAATTTCACCGCAAATTCATATGAGCCCCCGTCGTTAAAACCAAGTTGGTTTGCAAATGAGAATGTTTCGCGAGTTGAATACAAGTTAGGTCCCAGTGGAACATTTCGTTGACAGGAACTAGTGAGCTTTGCCTACCTGATGAGTCCTAAGAAGGACCGAGCCGGTCGTGGACTGTCGAAGATAATAGGCCTAATTCCAGTATACCATCACCCCGTTACAGCCATTGGCCAAGGCTACCGGTGATGTTAATGTAGCTGGCGAGATTCAACAAAACGCAAAAATTTCAAAATTTGTCCTATGACACGGTTGCCACATATGTATCACCGTGGTAGCAACTGAATTTTGAGCCGTATCATAGAAAGCCCGTTTGCAAAGTCAAGAAATAACGACAGCAAAGGGCGCTGGATAACGGCGACCTACATTTTTACAAACGTTATGTGTTTTCATGTTTATGCTACTTCTGATATCATTATATTCACAGGCATGTGTAGGTGGTCCACGTGATTCACAAAGCCGCATGAAATGGGAATATCGTTAAAATGTACAGCAGAGTCCAATCAAACAGATGATGCCTGAGGTCACTGCACGGACTATGTGCATCGTGAGATCGCTTTTTCTAGGAATCTTGGGGTTGATCTTTCAGTCTCACGGTGCAAGACTATTGTTGCATCTGAAAGTTTTCACTTGCCTTCTTTATCATTGGTATTCGTTGTGAGAAGGATTCAGTGTATGGAAGAAACTCCACAAACAAAGGGTAAAACCACTCTATGGCGGTTGCCATATTAAATAGGCCACTTTCTGTCCCGATTCTGGTCGACTACGATCTTTTTTAGAATGAGTTCCCACATTTCTGGTTGATTTGCTAGAGTAACGTGATCTCATGCCACAATGCCCGTTCTTGGTAGCATGGGGAGATTTCGAACTATTTTTTATTTGCAATTGTGTTTTTCAGGTGAAGAGAATCTCTAGCGAAGAGTCCGCGTTCCCCCTTCGGGTGTTTCATTCTTGCTTGGAATTATCAGTGGCGAATGATCAGTGGTAGCCAACGTAGCTCGTTCTGCTAAATGTAAACATGAATAACATATGAACAGATTTCGCATTTTGATGTAATAGTACAGCTTCTTGAAGGAAATTACTCACAAGGTTGCTGAAAACTCTTCGACAGCTCACGAACGGTTTCGCCCTTCTTGAGGCTCATCAGCTAGGCGCATTCTTCGAGTTCTCATCAGACTTGTTCTACTTGAACCCAAATTGGACTGTTTTCGAGAAATACACTCATTTGCAAATCAATTTGGTTTTCACGAGAGACTCAACTGAATCTCTCGTTTACGATATTCTACAACTGAATGTGCTGGCCACTTCAAGTTTCAGTTGGCACGTTATTCGAGATATCGCAGTATATTTTCATGATAGGAACTCGGGGACTGCGCCTACCTGATGAGCCCCAAGAAGAGCCAAACCGACCGTCGGCTGTCGAAGGGTTTTCAGAAAACTTGTGAGTAGTTTCCTTCACGAAAATATACTGCGATATCTCGAATATCGTTCCAACTGAAACTAGTACAACTTCTGTTCGGTTGTTCAAAGAAACGGCGTCTCTGTCAAATGAGTATGATGGTCAGAATTAGGAAAAAATTGGGAAACCTTAAGGCGGATTTCAAAAAGCCTACACCCAAAACGTATATGGTTCGCATTTCGACAAAACAGATGGGCTCAAAAGAATTTGATGTGCTATTCTCTACTTTGAGTGTTTCCTGAGAAGACCACATATTCGCCAAACAGTTTTCTCTGGTTCGGCCCAGGAGACAACTGGTTGTGTTTCATGCACGCGCCTTAATAGTTATCACGTCCCTACGAGGAAAGAGGATAGTACTGAGAGAATATCCTCGCCGTTCCATAGTAGTCAGATGAGTGGCTGAGTTGAACTGGGTTGAAATCCTGACCTTGCTGAATGGGCTTGAGTGGAAAACACAAGCTGCTTTAATGTTAAATTGAGGTAGTACTAGTTACAGGTGGGAGCGTCTAGGGTACCGACTTTGTGGCGGCGATCTTTTCAGTTAGTAACCTCAAGAGAATCCGCAAAGTCTCCATTGCATTCTGTTTCTAATCAAGCTTTTTTACACCACAGTAGTGTTACAAGATTTTTGTTTGCAAGAATGTGACAAAAGGATGTAAAATACCCGATAAATGGTACACTCTGGACCTTAGCTTTCGCTGCTTGATTTTCGGTCTACTGAAACAAAGACGAGAACGGTGCAAACTTGATTGGTTTGTTACAATTTTGGCACCGGTCACTCAACCTTTCCCAGAAAATGGTTGGTTTCCAATTAATACCTGGTGTAACGGTGATGCTACTGGTGGGAGCATGCGAGTAGTATGTTTTCTCGTAAATCCGCTTTGCGTCTCTTGAAAAGTGAGACCTGTTGCCGAATTTGTGGAGTCGCTTTGTAGCATTTGATAGCATTTGAGCAACAGTCAGTGAATTTCCAAAAAAGTTCAGGAAGACGCGTTCAAAGGGAGGATGGATGTTCAATTTTTGTAAACAAGATGCATATGAAACTTTTGCTTCACTGTCCAATAGTCTTTGACTGTTTAGTTTGCATTTTCTAATAAATAACTCCACAGTGAAGGCCTTCTTCCTTTCAGTCTATACTGGTAAACAGAGAATCACTACACAACTGTTTCATGTTTACTGGAATTCATCTCCCGAATTTCCAGAATGATTCGAAACCATGACATACAGGATAGTAGTTTTGCCCAGAACGGTTGATCAGCAGTGCAATTAACTCATATTTATACGTGACACAACGTGACGTCTAGTTCAGTTACGGAAACCACGTCACATGGTCGCTTATTGACTGACTTTATGACTGACGTCATATCGCCTCATGAAATTATTATTATTTCTCCAAGCTACTAACGCAGTAGTGAGGAAATTTGTTTTTTCCACCAGATCATCACTTTTCTCCAACTTGCTTCCTAACCAAGCAACTCGACTTTCCCTCCACAGTGTCGTGGTTCACGAACCCGGTGCTTATCCAGATTTGGAACGTGAAGGTCTACACGTTGAGCCGGGCAAGTTGAACGAAATCAACTATCAGCCCATTCACTGGCAACGGTTGAACACTCCTCGACACCCGTGTCGCACAGAACGAGTAGATCGTACTCACGAACTTGCCAGCATCACTTCCGACCGACTCCCGAAATCACCAAGTTCAGACTATGCCTATGCCTACACAGATTTGAATGTGTCCTACCGGTATACCCAATCACAATGTATCCATCTTCACATGCAGCTAAATATTATCGACAAATGTCAGTGTCAGTATATTTACAATCCCAGACCAAAGCATCCATCCAAGGAAGTACCCTACTGTGGATCATTTCTATACGAGCAAGACAAAACCTTGGCACTTAGCAAGCGAATCGAATGTCTGAATGCCGGCCCAATGAACACATCGTTAAAACGGATACACGCGGCGACCAAGTGCTTCCCGCTGTGTAACTATTACAGCTACGAAAGTACCATGTCGGTAACAACGTGGCGCACAGAGAACTGGCAACTGCATTGGTTACGTCATTTGAACAACGCATTTCAAGCGATGCAACGAGAACAAGAAGAGAAGGGTCCTGCTTTCAATGTCACAAAGAGTGCAGGCTATGCCAGATGGAAAGAGTATCTGGATAGCCAAAATCTGACTAATGTAAGTTTTGCGAATTGACTAAAATAGACACAGTATTCCAAAGATCGACTCCTTTCAAATTTGCACGTATTATATTGATTACTGGCAAGTATTTCATGTCATGGGAGGTTTTACTTGAATGGTTGTGAGTGACACTGGAAACTGTGGGCCTAAACAATATTGAACTTTGGCATCGTGTGGTGTGCAAGGCATTAGTGCACAGGTTATGTTAGCCGTAATATAATTCAGAAGGTATATGCACTAATAAAAGTTTTCACCATGGTTGACAGTAGTGAGTTGCAACACGTATAAAAATAAGTTCAATGCGAAATGTGGAGCAAGTCAAAAGAGGAATTTATCGTTTGTGAGAGTTCCTTGGTGAAAGTCCGGGCGGCGGGAACGTGTCCTCTCCGCAGTATGGCTGCTATCTGTGTTCCGTAATTGTCCGTGAACTTGTGGAGAGTGGTTGTCCCCCTGCTCCCTGCCCGCGCGCGAGTCTGTGTGTTGACTGTGTTCGGTTTTCCTATGTGTAGCCACGTTTGCGTGTACGTGGGTGTCAGAACGTGAGTTGTTGCTACGCTTACTGGATGGTGCAGACAGTCAATGTCAGATGAGTCACCTTTGTTGTGACGTGTTTGTGAGCGTACAACAAGACTAGTCTGGTGATCCAGTGAGCGATTGTGAGCTGAGCAGTCGAGTATGTGGGTGAAGGGATAGCTATGAGGGCTTCCCATCTAGTTCTTTGTTCGCCTTGAAAGTAAGCCTACAGTGTCCTAAATTGAGATGTGGAACTATTTATTAATAAAACTATAATAGATTATCTAATAGAGACGAGGGAAGTTTGATCATAAAAAATCATTGTTGGGGATGGCGGTGAGAAGCTGTATTGTGCGCTGGACGATACTCGACACAAGGGGAGCAGTTAGGGGACAATGAATTTTAGTTTACTAGCAGGCCACCCCATTCTTCGTTTTCCGGAATCCCATTTGATTTTGTCATGTAGATGTCAATTAGAAGACCGTGAATACATTCCCAAGTAAGTCAACATACATGTATACACCTGCTTTCCGAAAACTACATAGTAACTGAAGGTGTGCGTGAGCATTTCGAGGTGGTTCACTGCGGATTTTTTGCTTAAGATAGCATCTGATGAGCTATTTATGATCATCCAACCAGAATGAGAGCTAATTAGTGACCTGGGTTACGTCTTTGGTCGGGAGATGTTGGGAACAACCATTGAGCTATCCTGAATAAGTCAGGCTCCTGACGAAATTCGGCATCGCTTGAACACCTGTCCCAGGTTACCGACCACGTGTTTGTAACTCGTTATCGATGTAAACTCATCATTATCATCATCATCATCATCATCGTCATCATCATCATCATCACCATCATCATCCGAATCGTCATCATCATCATCATCCGAATCATTATCCGATTCATCATCATCATCATCATCATCATCATCATCATCATCATCATCATCATCATCATCATCATCATCATCATCATCATCATCATCATCATCATCATTAGCATGACATCAGTGTTCAACACCGATGCTTCACTGCTCTTCCAGCAGTTTAGTGCTCAATCAACATGCTTTCTGAACATCGAAACAGGCTGTTTACTTTCAAAGGCCCATGGACATCTACCAAAGCAAAGCATTGCATTACCCATGCATTTATCAGGTACTGGAATTCATCTAGCACAAATAAGTTTAGAGGTAGACAGGTAAAGAATGTAATTTTGTTAACTTACAGTTCACCTGTTTGGAGGAAACTATTCATAAGTTTACTGAATAAAATTAGACAGCACAGCATCGGTTCCGACTTATAGCAGCACATTCAGTTGAGGATATCATAAAAAACAGACCTTCAGATTAGTTCCTCGAACGGGTACATAATCAAATTTCGTACAGTATCACCTCAGGTGGGACACAAGTTTGAGCCTACCTGATGAGTCGCAGGAAAGGCGAAACCGGTCGCAGGTAGTCGAAAGGTTCTCACGACCTCGTGAACAGTTTCATTAAAAAAATGTATTGCCATAGCTCAAATGTCATACAAATTGAACCACTAAGGGACCTCAATGTGGCTAATGAGTTAAGTCTATGAGACGACCGATTTTCATTAATTATTCTACCACTAGGATATGAGACATATCCAGACGTCGCTTCTCGACCCTATTGCTATATTGATTGGTTTATCCCTTTGCTTCGAATGTCTGTTCCTTTTTTGGTGTTTGTTATAAGTTCGGTCAACCGAAGGTCTTTACATCCTTTCCGAGTTTTGTCAACTTTTATTACATTTCTGGATCATTTTGGAGAGAAGATAAAAAACTTAACCACAACGCTTTCCAGATAAAGCCTTCCACTAAAACCCTGTAGTTTTTTAGCTACCTAGCATCCCCCGTGTGTCGAAAAAAATTTAGAATATTTATTTGAAACCCACATCATCATACATGTTTTCTTCTCTGCAGATTCCAACCAATGATCTGAAAAAGCTAAATCTCGAGGGGAGCAACTTCGCCTATGTGGTTTTGAGACGGCGATCGCAAGATTTGCAGATCAACAAAGAGAAGCTTGTTCTAAGCATCAGCGTACTTCTCAGTCGTATTGGTGGATTGTGTTCCCTGACGATTGGACTCACTGCGGCTTTTGTCGTGGAACTGATTGAGTTCACTTATTTATTGTGCACTGACCAAGGGCATTCGGCGAATAAACCCTCAGACCTGGCACCAATGAAGTCACCAATCACGGTGGACGCACCGGCACCTATCGTCACGAACTATGACCACTCAGATTGCTTGCTAAAGTCGGATCCAACCAATCGTGGTCGGATTACAGCCGATCAATATGGCTATCACGAATCGAGTTGTTGAGATAACCAATCATTCTGCTTCCAAGTTAATTCGTGAGGAAATTACCTGAGCTGGTTCATTTCCTTCGGGTTTGTGAATACAAGCGGATGCTATGCGCAACAATACTGTACACACATACACTCGATATACTCCTTTCCAATCATGACAGTTTCGAATAGGGTAGGTTCCGGGACGTCATTGCAAGATTAGAATACCGCTCAGATTCTGGGTTAACTATTGGAAAGATTTCCCACGAGGTCACCGTAACGTACACATTATCTTTTTTCATCCTTGTGAGTGTATATCCGTCATCATTTAAATTTGTGGATTTCCTGTCACAGTGTGTTAAACAGATGTTGATGTTAACAGCAACGGCTGTTGTGACAACAAGCCTTCGTCCTGTGTGCAAAGATTATTATCGCAAGGTGATTGTTTTTGTTTGTTTATTCCTCACAGTGCTTCGGAATCGGAAAAAGAAGGCGGATGTTCACACAAGTGTAACGTCGGCGCAGTTGCTCTTTCCGAGAAAACAGACTTATCGTTGACTGGATTAGGGATATCAAACGCTTTTTGTTTCCAGATTCTGTGAAAGCCACGGTGTTTGTTGCAGAAGAAACATCCTTTCCTGAAATACCAATCTTCATTCACTATGCTGGATCGATCTTGATGCTTTTCTGACCATTGTTGTTGACTAAGTATCCATGATGGTTTCTATGCCGGTACCTTCTGATAGGTGAATTAGAGGAAATAAAGTTTTCGGACTTTTGTACGTGGGGAATGTAAAGTGCTGCATCAAGACCGGGTGGGATCAAACCCAAACCTCACGCTTGCAGACGAGCCAATTAACATGGTAGATAAATGTGTGGATCTGCGCAGTTGTATAAGTTCCCGTAAATTGGCTGGAGATCAGATATCTACTCGAGTCAGGAAGGCCTTGGCAGTTTTTCCCAACCTCAGACACCTATGGCGCCGACGTGATGTGAGTTTGTCTGTCAAGAGTAAAGTTTACACTGCGGAGCCGTGATCCATACTGATTTGTAGATTAGGGACATGGGCTCTACGCGCAGAGGGCATGTGGAAGATGCCCATCGACGTCTCCGAAGCATTGAAATGGCCTGATGGGTACATCAGATTAGCAATGCTGAGGTACGCCAAATGGTTTTAAGATGAAGGAGCTCTCCCAAAATACAAAAATTGCCCAATCCTCGTAGGTTACGACAGTCAGAACGTGTAATCCACATGCCAGAGTACCGTCTGCCTCATAGATCTCTTTTTGTCCAATCATGTACCGACTGTAAGCAACCAAGAAGTAAGCAGTCTAAGATCTAGCAGCGAAGTATGGAAACACTAACCAGTAAACAATCACTTCAAAAACTGCTGCCTCCCTAGATAGGGACGCCGGGACTCAACTCACGAATGATTAATGTCACTCACAGAAGGGGCCCAATCGCGCGGCCGGTGGCGTTCGTGCATCAAAGCTGTCCCCTTCGACGCGTAGCTATCCAATTCCAAACCTAACCAAATATGCCATCAACTCCACTGTTTGGCTCTATAGCCCATGATTCCCCACATTCTTGTGGTCGAAACTGTAGCAGCTGAAACCATTGTACCCACAGTACACAGTGTACAGCTGGTTAACTAAACTGAACTGAATGGATCTAGCTTGAATCACCCGATATTATACGTCCGTCACATTGCCAAATTGTATGTTTTTCTCGGAGGAACTGGTGAATGATAGCCGAAGTCCAAGGAAAAACGGCTTTTTCAGGTGATTTTCCGGGAAGCTGGAAGGATGAAAAATTTGAATTTCAGTTTCCGTTCGTCGCTCTTGGTGATTGTCGAAGTTTGTTCAAGAAAATTTCTCGTGATTTTATGGTCAAAAGTTTGATCTTGCATGTGGTATTCTCCATTAAAGGTGCACCAAAATGTTGGATTTCGTTAATTCTACAATCTGGTGGCGCGGGATGGATATCAGAGCAAACCCCACAGCCTTCGAAACCAATGGCCATGACTGCGAAGTTTGAAGAAAAATAGAACCAAGAGTAAAGCTGTGGAGAGGTAAAGAGTCACCTTTGATTTCTTCCAATACCAACCTCCAGAGGAACCCTGAACCGTGAAGGACTCCTCGGATTACTGAAACTACGAACAAGCAAGCACATGAGAGGAGCATGGATTCGCAGCACCAGTAAGCATCCGGGCGATTCGAAGTGATCTGCAAACGAGATGCTGAACTAATTCAACAATCGTGGGTGGTGGCCTGCACACTTCGTAATCAAGATCGTGCCACTTAGATGTTGCTGTGTGCACAAAGAGATTGGAAAGTGTTCTTTGATTTGGCTGATCAAGTCGTTTTCTTTGTGAAAGTTCCGAAATCGCAGTACAGACAATTAATTCTCACTTGAAGCGTTCCATTCAGAAATCTTTTCTTGGGGGGACTGAATTCTTCTCCATATTCCTGACTTCCTGCTGCGCCTAATTCGCCCAACTTGTTGATCATATCAAAATGCCAACAATAGCCAACTGTAAATATGACTAAATTTACAGCCTTCCTTGTTAGCTCGGTAATTACGTGACAAAAACTCGAATGGTCAACTCTCGAATAAATGACAGTGTCTGGAATTGTCTCCGTAGGTCAGAGTTCCGGAATCTCTGTGTTAGGGCGCAAATGGTGCGTGTCCGGCCTTATCAATTAGGGATGTCATCAGTCGGGCTGGACCAGATTTAACACTGCCGAAATCGACTCGCCCAAACAGCCGTCCGGGTATCATACACTGGGTGCGTCAACGAATGAATTCTCACACAAAAACTTATTGTATGATAAGTTTAATGTAGGGACAGACGTCAACTCGTTGACAACGTTCGAAAATTCGGAGCATCATAGACAGTGAAAAAAAAGTAAGATGAAAACTGAAACTGACCCTCTCTTTGAATTTGTCAGATTTTTTGACAAAAAACCCCCTGGAGTTTCCACTCCCGTTACACCGTCATCTGTAAGCAAGAATTTCATAGGTATATGGTTACAAGAGTGTTGTAACTAACTACTGCCCCAGCTCTGGTACCCTAGTGTCGGAAAAAGACTCACTAACAAGGAAAACAACGGCTTTATTGCAAACAGGCGAGTGCAAAAGTAACGTAGGTCCTCGCGTCATTTAAAGCACACTTTCGACATTGATCCACGCTACCTGATCTGCGTTGGGTGAACACTCGTCATCATTAACAGTACTAGTGTTCCAGGCCTGAAAACTCGTCATCATCGGCCGTTGTTGAATTGATTGTCCACTTGGATGTTTAATCGGAAAGTGGCTTTTGTGGCCTAGATGCATAACGATTTCCGTAGGGTATGAGTGTCTCAGAAGGTTTCGGACATTCTGGGATGATTTTCAGGAATCTAACCTTCTTGACAAACGGTTATATGGAGATGTCTTCGCGAATACGTCGACGCTTTTGTTACCTGTTTTATCACTCAGAGATCTTCAAAACATCCGAAAATATAAAATGTGCTACCTTAAACAACGTTTTACGTTGCTTTGTGGGAATCTGTGAATTTTACTTGTTCCTCAGGGTTTATTGTCCAGAACAAGGTTTGTCTTGATGATCCTTCACCTATTATGTCAGTTTCGCGCGTATCGAAGTGTGAAACAGTCGTAGTGATTGAGTAGGTGCCATCATCGGAACCCGGCCATTTCTGATCGCATTAACCTAATTGAGTGACGTTTCCTGTTCACAGAAGTATCTCTGATTGAATTGCTACCAGCAAAACCCCCCGTTCTAACTACAAAGTCATCATGTATCAAAGTGGAGCCCTTTGCTTACCGTGGTTGGCTAGAGGATTACTAGCTGACTTCGGTGACACATGATAGACATCGAAGGATTTACAGTGTTGCAATTTTTGGGTTTTGCGGGATAGGCATTTTGTTCATAGCCACACCACTTTCGTTTGAACGGCCGTGTTCCTGCTCTGGCGTAATTATTCCGGTGAGTCCACACCAAAGAGAAGCACTGGACTCTAGTTTCGCTCTTATTAGAGCTCATCAGCAGTGCATATCTAATAGCCGTGCATGGATTTGAATCCCGGGTATGTGACATGCGAGGCGAGCGTGTAACCACTACTCCACCAACGCACGCCAGACGCATCTGAACTNTGATGAGCTCTAATAAGAGCGAAACTCGAGTCCAGTGCTTCTCTTTGGTGTGGACTCACCGGAATAATTACGCCAGAGCAGGAACACGGCCGTTCAAACGGGGGTGGTGTGGCTATGAACGATTTACAGTATTCTTTATAATCCACTAAAAGAATCCTTCTAGATGAATTCACAAGAGGCAGAAATCGACGTGACAATATCGACTAGACTTTCCCGAACAGTTTTGTCCAGCCTGGAGTACGCTCCTTCAAACAGGAACTACTTAGCTGATCCAGTTTGTACTGGCTCTTAAGGATACCATTTTGTCGTCAACCTGGCATTAACCGGCTGGCTGATAGCTCTATTGGTGCATCTTCAGTCCGAAATTCCCATGTCAGTGCCAAATCCCTCTCAGGTACATTTTCACTCGGCATGGAAACCTGAATCGGAATCGAGAGTAACCGTCTAATGTTCAATGCCCTCGATATGCAATGAACTCAAGTGAAAGCAAGCAGTTGGACCAACCTATCGACACAACTAAGACATTGGGCAAACCAATCATATCGCCCAAGCACAACTACGTTCGGCTCTTCAAACATGATAATTCGAGTGCGTCTAGCTTGCTTTGGTGTTAGGACGTTTGCCTGGTATTTCAGATGCCTGGAGTACAAACCCTGCAACGGCTAAGGATACGCACTACTGACGAGCTCAGTAGGAACGAAAGGCGAGTCTAATACTTCTCTCCGCTTTGGTTTGGAGTGGGAGTAATTGGGTTAAAATAAGCGAGACAAATCTTGTAACCATACACAACCTATATTATATATATGTCGAGTTTCTAAAAATAGCGGGGTTGTGAAACCCTGTTACTATTTGCTAAATTAGCTTTATTTGCTTATGTGACCTAGCAAAGCAGCGTATCGCAGCTGGTTTATATTTTACGTTTTATTCCGTTTTTCTGGCCAGTCATATATTCATGCAAATTCCAACACCTTGTAAAAATCGCGGTCCACTAATGCATTATGAAATGTCACGGTATTTGTTAGGCGATGAAATAGGGCACCGCAAGGTCTAGACCAATTAGAGTTTTAGTAACCTTTGTCATCGATTTTAATACCCAAGTACTAATGAACTGCCCCACAGCCAGCTGCAAACACAAAAGGGAAACTGTCAGTGTTGGACTTCAATACTTGTCAAAATAAGCGCTCTCTGGTTACTTCGTTTGGATTGATTTTGTTCGAGTGAAAGTTAAACACTCGTGAAGCTTTTGGAAAAAGAACGGCGATTGCTAGTCGTATATACATTACATTACCGTAGTCCGTCTGAACCTGTGTTCGTGAGTACCCCTTTATAAATCAAAAATATAGCCACTCTGGTGTAGTGCAGTTCCGGGTGAATGCAACAATTTAATTTGTGACTTTAAACAGGTGAAGTATATGGAAATTGTGAAATGTACCACAGGGAGATAAAGTAAAACATAAAGGAAGCTACTCACATCTGTTCGACAGCCCACGACCGGTTCAAGTAGAACATAAGGTTGACGAAAACTCGGGGCTGCGCCTACCTGATGAGCCCCAAGAAGGGCGAAACCGGTCATGGGCTGTCGAAGAGTTTTCAGCAACCTTGCGAGTAGTTTCCTTTATGAAAATATACTGCGATAT